AACAGGTTGAGCTGTTGGAGACATCAGGAGCTACCGGGGCTCAGCTGCTTCAAGGACATGGCAGCTCTACTGATCGAAACCCTGAATCCCCCCGTTTCCCCCTTAGACATAATATGGAGAAGGGGGAGTTCAGTCTGTGGGGTGGAGGCACAACCCCCTTTCATTTTCAAAGGAATACTGCCCTACTGGAAAACATCAAATAGTCCAGCTCAGAGACTCGAGGATCGGCACTGTCAATATCTGCCTGCTATGTGTCCTTTATTGTTTTTCCTCCCCTCTTTTTCTACCCTTTTGAATGACAATGAATGGTAGTATGCATGAAAAAACCTCTTGAAAGGAGGTTAAAATGCAAAAGAAGAGGTGGTTAAAAATGAAAAGCAGGTAATCTCTAGTGATCTTATTAGCATTCATCTATGATGGCACGGGGTGTGAAATGAGAGAGGCAGGATTAAGGGGATGCCTCAAAATCATTAGAGGGCATAAAAAGTGGGGAGAATTACAGAGAGCATGACAAAAATAGGCTCATTTAAAAATAATTTTGAGATTTGAGAGCCCTAAATAAGGTCAGACTGTTGTTTATTTTAAAGGGATTACCGAAAGAAAACTGTCCATTTAATGAAAGTTACATTTTGGACCCCATTGAATTATATTGTGTGAACAAAAACATTCTTTAAATATCTTCTTTTATATTCCACAGAAGAAAGAAAGTCATACAGGTTTGGAACATTAGGGTGAGTAGATTTTGTCAGAATTTCCTCTCTTTTTTTGTGAACCATACCTTTAACAACAAATTGCGTCTTCAGACTAAACTGACACATATTGAGCACTGCTATTTTTAGGCAACAAGTACTTCTTAATATAGTTATTTAAGATTAATTATATTTCTTCAGAATGTGTTTTCCTTTATACACAGACTGTGAAACTGACTGTTTTGACCCCCTCGACAAAATAGTGAATTACTCAATAGATATACATCCATTACGTTTAATATTTTGGCTTTCATCACTATTTATGTTTGTCTTTCTTCAGAAAAAAATATTAACAAAATAAAACATTTGAGGCGGGAAGTTTCCGAAATGTGGTTGATTTGACATGAAATGACCCTACGGTGTCCCGCTCCATCAAAACAAAACATCTTTTATTAAGTTATTGATATGATTGGAGTCTTCATCTCCTATATTCAAAAGCACATAACTATAGAATCAATTCTTAATGCGCATGTGAACGCCATCAGCGTTTATCACAGGTTCGCGTTTAAAGTCTGTTTAGAGAGAATGGTGTCGTCTTAGCGGCCCCTAATCTAATAACAAATGATCATTTTGACGGAAGTGAATTAATCAAAACTAACTTTAGCTGGAAAATAACATTATTCAAGAACCGCTATAAAACCAAACCAATCCCTGTTACCTTAAATTGTATGTTTATCTCTGTAAAGCTGCTTTGAAACAATCTACATTGTTAAAAGCGCTATATAAATGAGGATGACTTGATTTGACATGAGAGTTCCATGATTTTAAACATTTTTCAAAAGTACTGTTGATTTCTGGTGTCAAAATGTTTTTATGAGGAAAAGTTAAAGGGAGTGTACCCTTAAATAAAACGAAACCCTACTTGGTGAAGTACAGGAAGGTTCTGGCCGGTAATAATTCATAGCATTATCTTTGATTCTTGAAATAGGCCTACTTTTCTCTCCAATACGGTTTTGCCCTTTAATAGCTGACCTGGAAAAACAGCTTTGCTGCATTTGTGTAATATATTCTCTTCATTTTCCTATTTCTCTCACTTTCACAGTCTGTGTTGAGATGTTTCCACTGTTGCTTCATCTCTCTCTCTCTCTCTCTCTCTCTCTCTCTCTCTCTCTCTCTCTCTCTCTCTCTCTCTCTCTCTCTCTCTCTCTCTCTCTCTCTCTCTCTCTCTCTCTCTCTCTCTCTCTCAGCTGTTTCCTGAGTGTCACTGTTCCACACACTCGCAGACTGATGTTTAATTACCACATGCCTATACATACAAATACACTCACACACATCTGTGTGAGTATAGCGCTGACAGGCAGCGTTAGTGCTCAAAGCACCTGAGAATATTCTCTCTGTAAATAGCATTTTAAACAGACTTCATGTCATGAGCTACTTACTGTGCTGGAACGAGGGATGAGGAAGGAGTGAGGGAGCAAGACAAAACACGGCTGGAGGAACAAGGATGACAGGGAGTGATTGTAGAGAGAATTGAGCGAATGTGAAACAAAAATAGAGTGATGGGGGAAAAGAGAGAGAAAGAATGCCAGGTCTTTCTCATCAGACTTTTACAATTACTTATTCAGCTCCATCTCTCTGCAAACAAACTGGGTCATGGGCTGAAACTTTGGCACAGAATAAAACACAGTCAGCCAGACCGGTGACATGGCTGTATGCCAAACAACAACAAAACAAACTCAACCTGAGGAACAAAAGCCACCACATGACCTGCACACTGATACTCTATACAAAACGTCCTCATCAGTAACATATTGAGAGACAAGAATGAGGTGTCTATAGATGAATTCATAAAAGTAATTGCATAATACATGCCAAATCTCCCAGCAAACAGTCCGAGCAGAGTTTCTGTTCTGATAGTGGTGGACAGCATTGAAAAACTATATGCTAATAATAAAATACAACTAACCACATAATCAAGCATAATTAGGGTAGTAAATAAAATAGGCTTATCAACCTTTAAAATGAGGGAGAAAACTTCCCATACCTTTTGCTATTAATGTCAAAGGCCACAATGTTACATTATTTTACTGCTAATTCATCTGTCACTTGGACGAAGCTAGCCAAATTAGCCAAAACTACGCATGAAAAGAATGAAAGAAAGAAAAAGAAATTAAATGTGCTATTTGTTATATTTTTGGTTGGAAAGTTCATATAAAAGTAATATAAATAAACATTAATGTTTGATTTTAATATAAATAAAAAGTGCTTAGTCCACATTATAAACACAATAAATAACACAATCAATATGTAAAACAAAAATACTCTTATATGTAACTTGATGGAGACATGTTAGTTTTGTGTGATAGACTGTTCATTTAACTCCCAACCAACTATACACATAATGTAAATCTTTTTTTATTTTAACACAGTCTCATCCCAAGACGTCATATGACTGACGCTTTTGACCATACGTCAACATCCGACGTTTTAGGGTACCCTTTAACGTCAGTTAGATGACGATCCTAGGGCGTCATATGTCTGACGCTTTACCTTTAGCGTCAGTTAGATGACGCGGGTAGGTTTAGGTCTGGGGTAGGGTTAGGATTTCATAGCGTCATATACTGACGTTAAAGGGTACCCTAAAACGTCGGATGTTGACGTATGGTCAAAAGCGTCAGACATATGACGTCTTGGGATGAGACTGGGCTGTTTATATTATGACCTTTTTTTTTAGCAAAATGGCAGCTGACTGACCAGCAATCACTGTGCATTTTTGTACACCATGTAACTCCTTTTATTGAGGAAAAAAGTTGAACTTAGACAACTGATGAAAACATATTCGGTAACATTTTATTTTGATGGTGCCTTTTGAACATTGTGTTGACTATAAGTAACTTTGCAACTACATGTCAACTTACTCTCATTAGAGTAGACTGCCTTCTAAATAACTGCCAACTCTTTATTGTGATGGTCCCCCAACAGACATTCTACTGACTAGTATAACTTTGTAGCTACATGTCGACTTAGTCTAACCCTAACCCTACCAGTCTCTACTGACTCTACTAACCAATACTCTACTACAATCTAATGAGAGTTAGTAAACATGTAGGTGCAACTTTACTTCCCATTCAGTTACACAGATACTGACGTATTGGGTCCGCCTAGGAGCCAAATACGTCAGTATCGACATAACGTCTCCCTTCCCTTCTTTTTTTAAAAGGTTCTTGGAAGTTCACTTGGCTCAAAAAACAGATGATAAGCATAATGCAAAGTGATAAACAAAACAAAAAGAATGAGAAGTGTGGAGACTAGTAGTAAACAATGTCAGTTCATACTACAGACGCTTTGTATTTATACTGCTATGCTGCAGTAGGTCTTGTTACACTGGATTTTGTGTTGAAGCTCCAATGCACCGTCACAAAAAATTTACATACAAGCTTTTGCTTTTAGGAAGTTTTGTTGGCTATAACCTTTCCTAACCACGATAAGCCGACACATTAGTGCGTATCACACAGAGAAAGGTAACTGTCAAACCTAAAAGCTTTTGTTAAAAGCAGGTTATAGAACTTGTTAAAAGCAGAAATGCATGTTCAGCCACATCAGTTACATGATGCATTCCCAAACCCAGCATTCATTACGAGCACTTTCATTCAATGCAAACAGGTGTCGTCTCTGTTGTTCCCTGACGATTATGCATTTCAGCACAGCAGTCTGCAGGACAATAATGCGAAGCATGACTTCAGCAGATAATACACACTCAGCGTGCCGATGAAAGCCCATGGAAAAGCACATGAGAGAGCCCCTCAGTCACAAAGCAACATCAAAGCCGGGGTGCGACGGTCCCCATCTACGGCATGGAGAAGCCACTCTGCTTTTATCTGTAAATCTTTCAAGGCGAGATTACAGCTGGCCTTCAGTCGTAAAAACCCACTTGTTCCTGGTACTTGCTTTTTGCAAACCTCTGCACAATTCAGCATCATGCATGATGTGAAGTATATCACACACAATAAATGACACATATATGTTTGCTATAAAACATATCACTGATCTGCTTTATCCAGTCGTGATCCTTTAAGGTCACAGGGCTGCTGATTGCAAGATATAAGTGTAAAAATCCCTCCATCACAAAAGCTGAGTGTTTACCTCTTCACTTAAGGTTATGCTGCGCTATATCAGAAAATAAAAAACAAACTTATACCTGAAACCTCCAAGGCAAATCTGTGAGTGAGAGTGTGTGTCTATATTTACTAGACTGAGACTTTTAAACAGATGAGAGGAAGGGATTCTATCACAACAATCCTCCTTGATCTTTTATCTGTAAGGGAAACAACTGGGGTTAAAGGTCACCAGAGCTGCAGTATGCCTCTCCAGTGGGCTCTCTTGCTGCATTGAAAACCTAGATTCACACAGACACACGGCTTGGATGGCCCAATAGGAGCGCATTAGGAATATGGTATGCTCTATATGGGTCATTCTCAAACATGTTGACTTTCCGACTAAATTAATAACTTGTAAATGAATACATTTTTAAAAATGGGGGGGAAAGAACATTTAAACGATCGTTTCTTACTCTGAAATGTGATTTTCAAAGTATTCTTCCCTAACTTTTTGTTTTTCTAAAGTTTAACATTGATATAAATGAAAAGAAATCAATGACATGAAATTGATGGACAAACATTATTTTAGTTTATGCATAATACTAATTACAGAGACGGACGGACAGACAGATAGTTTAGGGAAATGTGTTTTACCATATTTTGAGAATAGTCAGGAGTATAGTCATAAAAACTTACTGGTTGATCTGTGCTGATCCCGTCACATCATTCCTCCCCAAAATGACAACTGAGAATTTTTTTTCCCCCAAGCAGTCATTTCCATATCTATGTCATTTTTAACTTCAACTTCTTAGCATCCATGACACAACTGCCACATTTACAGTTTTTTTTTTTTTCTTTCATATCATCTATGATCCCATTCTGTTGTAGGCCGGCCTAAGTACAAACAATTGGTCAGCTAACAATTAGAAAAAGGAACTACCGGTATATAAATATTCTGATTCAGTTTTACCAAAAAATGCCTTTAATAAAGAAAAAGCAACAGGGGTTCCTAAATTATATGTTTCTGATCACCTCTCTACCTCCTTTCTCGTAATTATTTTGCCTTTTCTGCCTCTCTTTCTTTCACAACTGTGCAACCATGGCAACTTGCTGTGCAAGGTGTGAGCTCCAGGTGGAAGTCAAGGCCAGGGAGAGGACACGACTTCTACGCCTGACATTTGAGCTGCTCTGACTCGTATAATTGAGGAAAGCATGAAAAACATTTTGCCATGAATATGCATATTTTGCCACAGGCAGTCTAAGCAATATTCAAAATGTCTATTTGTCAGTCGTTCCTCATTTACATAATGACACATTCTTTCTTTCACAGGATTTGTGGACTGACTGAGTGTACTCACAAATCACTGCCAAAAGCTTCCCTTATGACCCACCTTATTTATCAGCCACTATGTGCACTGGGCATCAAAAAGACAGACGTGCTTTTGCTGACAGTGCATACTAATTCACTAGATTCGGGTCAACTCAAATGGAAAAAGATTATCAGTAATGCCTAATGATGTGCACAGAAGCACAGGTCAAACAGTGATCAGTGTCTAAAATCAATGGCATGACTAACTTAATGGCCAAGGCAAACCCCCTGGGGTGATGTCTGTCAGTCATTTACAGAAGGTGGTCCTGAAGGTGGTGAGCTAGAGATGAGGCGCTCTGCTGGCAATAGGCTAATTGTATGCAGTGTCACATAGCTATTAGTGTCTCACACCTCTAAGCATCTCATTCTATTCCCAGACATTTGGCCATGAACACAAATTCCTGTTTGTGTTTATCAGGTGAACCACTGTCGCTTGTTCCTTTGTCTTTTTTGTTGACCAAAATAATGATGACAAATAGAGAGACAGAATTCTGTATATCTGTATCCTTGTTCATGCTCCCCTGTGCACCTAAGAACCTGCCTCTGTTTTTGTCAATACATTGATGTATATTTAGTGGGGACTGAGAGCACATTGGAAATCTGGGATTTAAAATTTAATTTAAACCTGCTAATAAACAGAAAGGTTTAGAATTTTGACACAAACACACAAAAAGTTATGAAGAACAAAAATTTAAGATTCTGCACTGTTTCTATGGCACTAATCCAATAACCAAACTTGACAATGAGAAGTTACTGTATGTGTACATACGGCCAGATGTTCTTGCTTCCATTGAAGTACTCTAAGATGCTCTATGTATCATTTAAATCATTAAACATAAAATGATAAAAAATTATTAATTCAATAATTTAATCAATTCAATAATGAATTGAACTCAAACTGAAATTGAAATTAAAAACTTTCCAAAATGTTTCTAAATTGTAATTTAAATTTGTACTAAATCAGAAAAAGAACGTTTGGACCTCTTTCCAGAGAGAGCTCAATGCACACATTTCTCTAAAACTAATAGAATATCCTCTAAATGTTACACTAAACCATCAATCCTCAAGAACAATGTTGGCATAAAATTTGTCTGCTACATTGCGATTAACTATTATCCCTGCGGATACATGGACAATCCAGCTTTGAGACCTCTGCCATTTGGATTTTGCACTCTCTCTGACTGTTAAGCCTGAGCATTGATCGATGACATTTCAACACATTAGGCTGGACTGCCCTCAACATCACGGCAGTCTCCACGGGTGCTGAGAAAGCATTGCTGTGACGTGACTGCCAGAGGCTATGGAGGATTCTGGCTCCTTGCGAGCGAGGGCTTGGGACTAAGACATTGAAACTGGGATCCACCGAGCACGATTAGCTGAATTGATGGCTATGCACTGCGTACAGGCTTTTAAGCTTACCTGAGGAAGAATGAGGCTGCTGAGCTGGTTTGGGGTGCTGGTGGGATGGCTGGCTGGCCATGGTGGGTCAGTTTATGTCCTGATGGAGAAACCAAGGGTACAGCACTGGCCTGACTGGACCTGGAGGCTACAGTTGCCAAACTGTCCTTCTCTATGGTAGGACTCTGTTGGGGGGGAGAGAAATACTATTAGAATGACAGTGTAGTAAATGTTGCTTTAAAGTCATCATGGAAATGGAAGTTGAGATTAGTATTTTCTTCTTTATTGTGACGTATATCAGAGTGAAACAGCTTCACGAACAAAAAAAAATGTAGGGCAGGACTTCATTTTGTCCAACGATTGGATGGAATTGATTGGATCGTTTATGAGGGACAGGTTGCCCTGTCCTCGCGCCAGTAACACATCATCAGAGAAGAGGTGTCGGCGCAAGAGGAAGGAGAAGTTATTTTGATTAAAGACTACAGTGCGAGGACATATGAATAAAAAAAAAAATACAGCAATATTCCATAAAAAAATAAGAATTGTCCATTTTAATTTCATGGTGACTTTAAATAAAAAAAGTAAAAATGATCATTTCCTCAACCTCATGTCGTTCCAAACCTGTATGCACAAAAATTGTACACAAAAAACAACACCACATTTTTCCAAAATATATTCTTTTATGTTTCACAGAAGAAAAACATACAGGATATGACTACAGAATATACATTTTTGGGTGAACTATGACTAAGTATGAGATAAGGATGAGAAGTATGACAACAATGATGATCAATGCATCATAATTGAAGCTGCTGTAGGTAACTTTTGAAAAAAATGTATTTGCTAAAACTGTCATTATGTCCTGACAGTAGAATATGAGACAGATATTCTGTGTAAAAATCAAGCTCCTCTGGCTCCTCCCAGTGGTCCTATTGCCATTTGCAAGAAATACACGCTCCCGGTCAGAAACAACCAATCAGAGCCAGGAGGAGTGTCTTAGCAGTGTCAATCACGCTCGTGTACGCGCTGATCACACCCCTCTCTTGCACAGCGCGAGCCGTCGTTCAAACTCAAGATTGCCGGCGTGCTGCAGCTGTGCTTATGACGGAGAAACAACCTAAACTGCCAATTCTCGAGTGACACCTGCTCATAAAACAAAGAGGTAAAAGGAAAAAGACTGATGACGATAAACAAGCGAAAAAGAAAGAATTACACAGAGCCCATTGACTCGGTGTCAAAACTCTAGCCGCATAAGATGTAGATAAAATGTCACGCACTCTGCTAAGCAACAATTGAAACCTGCTAATTCACTGGCTTGTCATGTTGCTGAAATAATGTACTAGCACACCTTATCTAGCATTATATATCGCTAGAATAATTACTTACATACTGTAACGTTAGTTACCGTTATATTAACGTTATCTTACTAGCTATTTATAACTTATAGAAAGAGTGCAACGTTATAAAGTTACATGTAGGCTATTGCAAAATACATAATGATTTGAGGACCAAGTTTGTAGTCAAAGTATGGGCAGGCCATAGTCAATGTAAAGCATATTATTGACGTTTAGTCCCTATTAGTGAATGTGCCATATAATTTTTTATCCGCTGTTATCGGTGGCCCTGTTTACTAGCCTGCGCGTTCACGACAGGCTCCGCTGTGGAGGGAGGGCTGTAGCGCAGCAGAGAGCAAGGGGGTGGGACCTGTAAGTTGTGCTTGTTCAAATTTTCAGGCTAAGTCAACGTTTTCTCAAAACTCCCTACTGGAGCTTTAAGGTCTCTGTGAGAAAATACATGAGATGGGGGGAGTTATGGAGCAGACCGCAGTAGAAGGAAGCATCGGATTTGCTCCTCAAGAATGTTTTGACCTCTTTTCAGACTATTTGCACAAGTAACTTCATAACTCTATTCAGAACTTTGTTTTACATCCATCCTGAATAGTTTGGTTTGTTCCAAACTGAAGCAAAATCGCCCACAATTCTAGTGTGATACGTGCCGTCACGGAAAATTTGTTTTGAAATCATTTTTTTTCAAATGATAACAACATTTTTTTTTTATTACTTATAATCATTTCAGTACCCTGTTGATTATCACAGCTCTAGTTTACACCAGATAAACACTGCAGTCATGGCATGATTGTGTCTGGAGGAGAGTAGGTTGCTGAAGAGTGTGCTTTTTCTCTACACTCTTTCAGTCTTTGGCTAACAGGATTACAAACACATTCCATAATATCACAAGCACAGCCTGCTGTAAAGTAATGAAATCCTGTGGGATACTTCGCAAATACTGGTGACAAAAATGCAAGGCCTTCTCGTGCAGAAGTAATATGAAAGCAGCCAAGCAGCCCATGAACTATACAAGGGGCCACTTCTCAGTCATACTAATAAATATAACAAAACCATTTTCTCTTTTTAACAGCTATAACACCCATCATCCTTGCTTTATGGGTATTGTTTTTATATAAATGCAGTGGTGTTAGGCTATTGGCTGAGGGAAACCAGCAAAGTTCAAATGCTGAAGAAAACCACTAGATATTTGTGCTCATGAGCAAGGCACTCCAGGAACTATTCATGAGGAGTTTAACAAGTAGCTCCAGATCAAATGCACCTGCTATCTGTTATGTGAGACTTAGTGTGCTTTCACATTGTAAACAATTAATCTTCCAAATTCCTCTAAAGATACAAGGGCCAAACATAAGTGTCATTCAAGCCCCCTTATAATTCTAAGCCCAGTCATTTTAAGATAACTTCAATAAATATTGGTATCTTTGCATAAGCTGTTACACACTCAAGTTGCTTAAACTTGTATGATTTTAAAACACAATTATTACGAAAATGTCAAAGCTGCTCTTTTCCATAATGTCACAACTGTGTGGTAGAACACACAAGACGAGGAAGATGAAGATTCAAAACGGTCTTTAATAGCATCCAAAAAGGGTAGACAGGTAAACTCAGAGTAGCATTGACGTTGAATAGATTAGACTGGACAACCAAACACTGAAAACACAAGAACTGAAGTACTAAGACTAACCAGGTGAACTAATACCGGGTTCCAGGGCTTTGTGGGCAGAACAGCAGTCCAACTGCTCCATGGGGCAGGAGTGGCGGGGTCAAACCTGCGGAAAACTATAAAAGGAGTTGGGAGAGGACGCTGAGAAAGCGAGCTACTGGCTGTGGCTCCGGAGGAAACACAATGTTTGGGGGTCAACACCCCTGTAAAGGCAGCTGCAGGGGGTGGCTGGGAGACGTCCCCTATATGCGTCCCCGACGCATATAATGATCCAATCATGTAGGCACTTCTGGGAATGTAATTTTACTGTTTTTCACCATATGGTAATTCCTTTTAACAAATTTGGCAGTATTTTACAGTAAAATTACACATAATGTCACTTTAAACCATGTACAGTCTTTCAGCATATATGATAAGTATTGACAGTTAACAAACAATTAACAGTTTTTTACTGTAGTAAATTCTTGACTGTGTACAATTTGAGTTCCCAGGCATGCTAAATTAAAAACTGCAGCGCTAGTCTAACAAATCTTAAACATTCACAATGAACCCATGAGTTTCTAAATAATCTCTTTGGTCATGTGTTATTTCACCAAAGGCACTGTCACGAGGTGGGTTTGTGTCTTGTCATGTTTAGTGGTTCCCTGTCTTGTCCATTAGTAATCCCAGGTGTTTCTTGTTAACCACGCCCCCTTGTTATCCTGTCTAGCTCGTTTGTCCCTGATTATTTAAGCCCTGTGTTTCTGCCCTGTCTTTGTGAGTTGTTGAATGTATGTTCTGTTCCAGGATTAACGTGAGTGTTGGTCGTTCCTGTGTAAAGATTCCTGTTCCAAGTTCTGAGTCTCTGTTTATAGTTTGTTTTAATAAAGCGTGTACACTGCGTTTGGATCCAGCCTCCTCTCTGCCTTCACCGCATCATGTTACAGATCATCACAGAACAATTCACCACAATATGGATCCAGCAGTTGTCAGCAACCAGGCCCTCAGAAGTTTCCTTGCCTCGATATTTCAGGAAGGCCAGTCCATCGAGAGGTACGTGAGGGACTTTATGTCGTGCTGTCGTCTGGGGGCTTTAGACGACCTCGAGCTCATGGACTTGTTTTGGAGCAGGTTGGACGAGGACGTTGCCCAGTTAATGCCGGATGACTGTACCAGCTGGACCCTGGAGGGGTATGTCAACCTGGCCCTCTTCTGGAGTGGTTCATCATTTACTGTGGGCGTGGAGGAGAAGCGGCACGTCAGCCCAGCCGAGACCGCGCTCCTCAAGCCCGCGCCTCACGTCTGCTCAGCCGAACCCGCGCTGCACGTCTGCTCCGCCAAACCCACTCTTCGTGTCGGACCCCTCGAGCCTGTATTCCGCACTGGTTCTGTTGAATTTGCTAATCCAGAGACCGCGGCGGAGGTTTCGCCGGCCGAACCGGAGTTTGAACGCGTCAAGTGAGTCAAGTGAGTCAAGTGAGTCAAGTGAATCTAGCCCCGAGTCAAGTGCCGAGCCGAATAAATCAAGTAAGTCAAGTGCTGTGTCAAGTGAATCAAGTGCTGTGTCAAGTGAATCGAGTGAGTCAAGAGCCGAGTCAAGTGAGTCTAGTGCCGAGACAAGTGAATCGAGTGCTGAATCTAACCAAGTGAGTGAATCCAGCCAAGTGAAAGATCAAAGCCCAGTGAAGCGCCGTCGCAGAAGGAAGATGAGGACTCGTTTGGCTCGCCAGGCTCCGGAGGGCGTTCCCAGATGCCTCTCCCTGCCGGCCCCGCCTCTGCGCCTCGCTTGCCGCCTCTGCGCCTCGCCCTGCCGCCTCTGCGCCTCGCCCTGCCGGCCCCGCCTCTGCGCCTCGCCCTGCCTGCGCCCTTCAAGCTCCGGGAGGGCTTTCCTGAACCCGTGGATTTCCCCAAGTATTTTTGGGGGGGGGGGGGGGCCAAGGGTCCGGTGAGGAGACCATGAGGGCTGCGCCGCCATGGTCGTCTGCAGGGGCTTCACCTCCATGGCCGCCATCTCGTCCTGCTCCGCCCTGGCCGCCATCTCGTCCTGCTCCGCCCTGGCCGCCCACGCTCTGCGGTCCAGGCCCGTCGTGGCTATGTCCTGGTCCCGTTCCCCTGCACGGGCCTGGCCCTCCATCCCTCCCCCAGGATCGCCTTCGCTTTACCCCCCACCTGGATCGTCTTTGGAGCGTCTGGAAGC